AGGCATGCATTTTACCACTGAACTAAATCCCCAGCCCCTAAGTTGGAATTTGGAAATAAAAAAAAAAAATTCTAGTTTCTCTTTGAAAATTACTTTACTTCAAAAAATAAATAAAACAGCAATTTGTAATTGCATGGTTTGATTACTTTTCCTGTTCTACCACCTGCAGGTTCTACAACATGCTGTGAAAATCTTATTATAAATACTTGGAAGTACAAACTGATGTTTTGAAACTTGTTTCAAGTAAGACTAATCCACATAGGACTTAAAATTTCAGGATAATAACAAAGACATTTGTTTAGGCATTTAGTCTAAAAAAGGACTGATCATGTGTTTAAAATAGTGGTTTCTAATGTTTTGGGGTTAAGAGCCCATTAAAACTATGTATCTATCTATCTATAAATGAAATTTTGTTTACAATTTTAGGGGTTTTGTAATATCCCATTTATAAGCATGAAACAAGATCTGGGTGGGACAAGAACTCTGCCTTAGATAATATACTATGAGGATTAAATTGAATGGGGGGTTAGTGCAGGGAGATGGTCTTGCTTACCTATGATTCCTACTCTTTGACGAAACTGGCCTAAATCAAGCTGCTCCTAATTCAAAATGCCACTGCTGATTTTTCTCTAGATACTCAAGTACTTAAATTAGGAAAGAAATGCTGTTTCATAGTCACTAGCTATAACCGGTTGATGCTCATTTCCTGTACTAAATGACCCTTGTTCCCAAAAATAACTGCAGTGCTATTCAACTGCTTATATTTGGCGTATTCTTTATTCTTATTTGGGAAGGCACATTCCCTTCTACAGCTGAAGAAACTCTGTTTGAAAAGCACTGCCCCAAAACACTCTTCCCTCCAGGCCCTTAAAAATGTTCAGCATCTGAATGTTGGCAAGGAATGCTCACACCCAGTGGAGGCTGCGTTGTGTGGATTGAACAAGAGAAAAAATGGGATACTATATATGGAAAACAGGAAGCTGAGCCAGTGGAGGCAGCCTTACTCATTAGTGACCCACATTCAAAGCCATAATCCAGCCACTGTTAACTATCTAGAAAAGGAAAAGACTTAATGGCTAGCCTAAACTATAAAGGACACATTACAAATCTGGTCAGAATGTTCTGCCATTTTGCACTTTACTTTTAAATAAGTTGAGAAATGAAGCACTAGTTAAGCCTTGTCCATTTCAGGCTGGTCAAGTGCACTGAAGTACTATACATACTCAGTTGGTGGCTGCCTTGTGGCAAAATTAACTTTTCATGTCTTTTTTTAGGAAGAGTATTGAGGGGTGGCACTAAAGGGAAGCCCTGAAACCCAAAACAAAAAGTTGCAAAATAAACAAACTTCCAGTTTCTCTGCATTATATGACTATTTGAACATTATACATTTGGAGACAGAAAAAGGAGGAACTTCAAGGACTGTCACCCTTTCTTGGTATTTTAAAAGGTCAATAATTCCCAGGGCTGCTTTTTACAAGGAATACACATTTATGTTTTAAAAGCAGAGTTTTAGTATCTTAGGAAATGGAATGGAGATATGATTCTGAAGTACTTCTACATTAGTATTATAGGACATTATGAGAACCATCTATCCTTGTTCCTTTATCTCCTCTTCTTCCCCCTCTCCTTTCTTCTCTCCATTCTCCTCCTCCTCCTCCTTTTTTATTGTTTAAAAAATCATATTCTAAGTAGCTGGATGTGACCAATGAGAAAAATGTATCTAGGTCACTCTGTAGACATGGTTCTTGGAAAAGTAGTCAAAGACTCACCTAGTCACCTAGTCAATTTGCTCTAACCACAATCATATTCATTTATAATGGTATTTAAAATCCAAGTTCTGTTGTTTATCCAGGCTACTTTCAAGATTTTTTTCCCCCTAATTAAATCCACCGGTAGGGTCTCTTCATCTACAGGAACTGCCTAATTCTGCACACTCACCCCCAATCACTTTTTACTTTTACTATTATCATTGTTAAAATTGGTTTTTATCTATAAACCTAGAACCTGATTTGTAATGTGTCCCTTTGAATTACCTTCAATTTCTACTTACTCCTTACTCTTCATAGTTTGAATATTCTTATTCATAGGGTGACCATATCATTTTTCATTCATACCAGAATATAACTTTGAGAATGAAAAGGGGAACAAATTAATAGTTATGCTTCAGTAACAAACTGGTACTATCTTGGGATATCAGAACACAAGGTTACTCTGCTTATTTAAAAATGGAATTGTGTTATGCCAATCAATGGAAAAATTGTTCTTGGGTATGCATCTATTCTCACAATGCAGGTATTCATTCTTTGTTCTAACCCTGGGGTGGGGAGGTGGTCTTACCTTCTGAATGTTATTGTGCTTGCAAAATGATTTATAAATGGATGTGCACTCAACTATTGGCCCATAAAAATTTATACTGTTTAAGGAGGTTTCTACTCTCAAAGATTGAAAAGCCTTCAAGTTACCATGGGATGATTTGTGGCTCACTGAAGGGACTAATATTTGAGAGCCTAAATCCCAAGAGGGCTCAATCCACCAGAGAGAGATAGCTGTCCGTTCCTGAAGACAACATTGACTCACTTATACTTCAAATCCAGTACTGCATAATCATGATTAAATTCAATTTACTAAATTTAAGCTCAGTAATCGACTGTGGTCCCACTGTTGCAAGGAGAAAATAAGGTTTTCAGAGAAGCCTCTAGCCTCCTTTGCATCTTAATGGTAAAGGTTTCTTTTATTTGTGGAAGTCTTTATAATTTTATTTAGAAATAGGAATAAAAGGCTAATTGAAACAAACCTGGGCATCACAACATTTTCAGTGAACAACTTTGAAACTTAATTTTAGAAAATAGTAGGTTTGAAGAACCTTGTATATTTTGAAGAGCAAGTAATATGATGCCAAAACTAAAGAAAAGGACAACTCTAGTTATTTAACATAATGATGACACATGAAAGAGTAGAAAACAATTTATGACAATTGGGAAATTTCGTGGGTAAGGTATGGATTTATCTTGAATTTAATGGACTATCATGGTGTGATCTAGCAATGTAACCAGCACTGTATCTACTTAATAGGATTTCCCCTTAAGTATAAGGCAGACCAACTTTCCTTTGGAGTATTCATAAATTTTAGTTAACTATGCACTTGTCAATATTTGAATGAGATCACAAGTAGTCATGCTCCTGACCAACTACTACTTTTCTTAGAGAATATGTTTCTTTAATTTCATTTTTCCTCATAGCTCCTGAATTCTGCATGTAAATTGCTACTCACAATTCAGTTTAGGCAAATGCTCTAGATTGAAAATGTGGGTTGCCACCTGGGGAACTGTAACACCCTGTTGGGAACAAGAAATCTATTCGTTCATTTATCAAATATTAGCTGAAACCTGATTATGTGTCTTGGAACATTGCTTGATACTTTGAGGGACTAATTTAGAGTTATGTAAATGTGAACATTACTAAGGTTTTTGTGGCAAAAATTGTTAGTAACTCACCAAATCACACATAGGGAAGAAATTCTGGGAAATATAGATCCTTGCAAGTCAAATATGGATAAATTGTGCTTTATCTCAAACTATACAATTTCCTGTGCTAAGACTGGACCAATTTTGAACAGTGGTGAAGCCAATACCTTTAAATTCAAGAACGTTGAGTTCTAACAGGTTGTTAATATAGAAACATCATTTAGCCTCTTAAGCTTGCCAAACGTTAGGCAGGAGAAATAATGCTCATTTCTTAGAGGTCTTCAGAGACTGGCTAAACAATAGATTTGATTTTGCTGGTGAACAACGTGCAGATTTTCCATAGATGGGGTCACTTCATCTTCTATTTAATATTGACGGCCAAATGAACATCCCAGTCTCTGATCTCTAACAACAGAAACACTACTTCACAGGTTCATAAATCTGGTAATTTGAGCTCTGTTCCCAACAGGGTGCTATAGTTCCCCAGGTGGCAACCCACATTTTCTGCTAACTTCATGGCAGCTTGCCAGCCACATATTCTGCATTACCAGGTTTCAGTATGATGTTGATTGGTACAGATTTCAATCCTCTATAATCAAAATGTGCCCAGTCAATCTCATAATGAGTGTTTCCCTTTTCTTCTAAATGTTCTTTTTCCGGCCCCCAACTCCACCTAAAGGGGGGAAAAACGAGGAGAAACGAGAATGTGTACTCTTAAAGATGAGAATTTTCCTTCTCATCCTTATTTCCCCACACATGGACTTCCAGATAAATCTACCAAAAGCATCTTCTCAATTCATCAGTTTTTCTCTAAAAGTTCCTCATCCCCCCGCCCCCCCCACCTCCCCTTTCTTGCCACTCAGCTCTTTTCTAAATCTTCAAGTTTCTTACAGACAAGTCAGGCCCACTATTTCACGAAAAACATTGCTGCTAGCTAATTCCCTTTTGAGAGGACAGTGTCGTTTTGGTCCCCAAGAGGCCCCGCAGGGTGGAGGACTAGCCCTCTCCATTTGCCCGGGGGGATCCGGGGACTTTCAGGGATCAAAACGCGGAGGTGCGACTTTGAGGAAGCAGAACTAAGAAGGGCCTAACAGGAAAGTGAGTCCAGGCTCGGGGAGGCTTACAGCTCACCCAGGGCCTGCGGAGCGCTGGGTCCCTCCCCACACCTCCCTGCCTAGACAGAGAAGGGCACTGAGGCACAGCCAAGGCTTCGACCGGGCCCTCCCCCGGCCTCCGCCGCCTCCCCAGGCCCACTCGTGTCCAGGCCCGCTCCTTTGTCTAGGCCCGGGCCTCACAGGCTCCTTCTCCTCCTCGCCTCAGGCTCGGCTGACGCGGCCCGGGAGGAATGCGTTTCCGGAGGGAGAGGGCGGCGGCGACTGCCTTAGGAGCGGGAGCCGCCGCGCGGAGGAGGCGGTGCCGCAGAGGTCGCTTCCTGCCGGGAGGCGGCTCGGGTGGCGGAGTCTCCTCCTCCCGCCCCTGAGAAGGAGGAGCCGCCGCCGCCCGCCGCGCCCGAGACCGGGAGGCCGCTAGAGCCCGCGGGAGAGGCCGAGCGCGAGCGGCGGAGCAGCAGGCCCGAGCCGACCGTGCCGGGACCCGACGCCGCCCGGAGAAGGTAGGGCCTGAGGCCTGCGGGAGGGCGCGCGGCCCCCGGGCTGCCGGGCCGGCCGAGCCGGGCTTGGACCTCTTTGCGGGGCCGGGCAGGGCCGGGCAGGGCCGCGGGGCGGAGGGGGTAGGGCTGGATTCCAGCCTTCAGGCACCAGAGGAAGTGGAAGCTCGCCGCCCGCCCCCCGCCCGGCTCCCGGCCCTTCCTGCCTTTCCTGGCTCTGTCCCGCCGCCCCTTCCCCTGCTCAGGCGGACTCTGGAAGTAGAGCCGGCCCTAGCCCGGGTCCGAGTGGGAGGGTCGCGGGCCTGGGCGCTGTCACGTCGGGGGGCGGTGGTGGCCCCCATTGGCCACTCTAACACCTGCCCCATCTAGCGACCCTTGCGGCGGTCTTGCGGGCCTGAGCTCCGCGGTTAAGGTGCGGGAATTGGGACCGCCGGCTGTGGTCCGTGGGAGCGAGAAGCCTCCGAGGAGGCTTTGAATGGTTGTGGACGCCTTCTAGCCCTTTCTCTCTGTTTCTGTCACTGGCCGCTTTTTCTGTGAGCTACGTGGACACGCCTGGTCTCTTGCTCCCGGGATCAGAACTGCTCCCGCCTCCAACTTTCTGAAGCGGTGCGGCAGCCCGGAGCGCCCGCGGCGTGGGAGGGTGCGGGCTAGGCCCGGGCCGAAGTTGGCACCCGCAGCCGCTGGGGAAGGGAGGCGCAGAGCCGGCGTGTGTTCTTGTCTTCAGTGTTTAGAAGTACAAAGGACACGGCCCACCGCGGGGCGGCCCCGGGACCGGGACCAGGACCAAACCAGGACACGGGGCCAAGGCCGACCCTCCTGGCAGGTGTCCACTTGTCCGCAAGACTTAAAACCCTACCTCTTCTCGTATCGTTTCACTGCGTGCCCTTTCTTATGCTTCAGAACAAGTTGGATTCTGAGAATTCTCATATTTAAAACCTGAAGACTTTTTATTTCAACAACTTTGTACTTTAAATGGGAAAACTAACACCAATTACATTGCTTCTGTTTCCTCATCTGTAAAATAGGAACAAGAATAATAATTATTATAATGACAGTGAGGACCATGCTTAGCTCTAGGCATTTTGCACATATTATCTCATTGAATTTCTAGAATGGCTCTGCTGAGGCTTAGGTATTGTTCTTATACCTGTTTTACAAATGAAGAAACAGAGGTATGGGATACATAAGTAAATTGCCTATGATCTTCAGGAGACCCTGGAGAACCCATGGGATCTAGCTCCAGAGCCTATGTTTGAACCATGTGTAACCACCTTAACTGCAGGATGGTTGTGAAAATCAAATGTAAAATGTAAAAAAAACACCTACCTGAGAGTAGATGCTCAATAAATATTGACTCCTCTTCAATTCTCCTTGGTTGTAAAAATGTCTCAATGTAATTGATAACACCATTAGTAAGGTTTTTTGGGGTCTGTATTCCATGTGTTTAGGTGAGTAGAATTACTAGGAAGTTATTTTTTATTGTTGTTTTGATGGTACAAAAGTAAATACTAAATGGATTTTTATTAGACTTTTTTCTTATATGACACATACCCTTTACAGTAGGTTATATATTAGAACATGTTAATAAACTATTAAGAAATATTAGTTGAAAGTTATCTATTCTACATTTGTGGACATCAAAGACTTAAGTACCCAAGAGGGACTTAAAGAGATTCATGGTGATGTTCATGTTTTTAAGTAATTTTGGAATATTGATCAATATTAAATAAGCAACTGAAGATGATGAAGTGAGAAATAGAAAAGAAATGAAGCAGATCAGTATTTTTTTTGTTGTTTATAGACATTTGCAGAGTAGATGATGTTACTAGAAAGACTATGTAACTAGAAAACACATAAATTCCAATTTAACTCATGTGTGTTGACTTCCCAGACCAACAATTTTAAGTATTTGGTATATTGGTTTTCTTTTTTAAAGACTGAAATTCTACATTAAGAGTTTTTAATCCTCTCAATTTTCTATGCATGATAGGATGGAATCAACAATTTAAAAAAATCATTGCATTTAGTAATTTCAACCTTCAGGCAGCTTTCTTAGTTTTCTGGTTAGTATAACTTAAATTTGCCCCCAGTTATCGTCACTGAATGAAAATGTAGTTTAACTTGATATTTCTAAATTCTTAACTCCAGGAGGGACACTGGGGACCTCTCTTCACTTTATCTTAATGAAAATTAAACATTTTTGACCAGTTGCTATTTTTCTTGACAATGCTTACTAATTAATGTAATATCTATTTGGCTTCTTGATAAATAAATTGTGACTGTTGGGATGGGGGGAGTGTAGTATTCTCTCTGAAGAAAATGTTCTTTTCATTATATTCTGAAACACACTTGTTCTTAACTGTTCTGCCATACTGATACGATAAACAGCTTGTAACTGGCTAAAGTTTCAGAGAACTTTTGAGTTCTGAGATTTTATATTTAGAATTCTGGATGTGTAACAAGCTGAATTTATCTGAATGAATTTGGATGGACTTGTTAATTTTAGATTTCCCCACTGTTTGTGGGGGTTAGGCTCTGTCAAGTTGTAGGTAGAATCCTAGAGAATTACATTGTGTAAATATGCAGAAATTTGTATTATAATATTAGTGTTTATTCTGTTCCTGATTATATGTTCTCCTGAGATTTTCATTTGTCCTTTTATATTGTTGCTGCAGAGGTGGGAATCCAGGGTAAGGGAGGATAAGAGTAGGAAAGAAAGAATGCCTTAGTCTTCTGGATTCTGAAATAATAGCAGGATCTGCAGCTGTAGCATGCTGAAATGTATTGAGGTTAAAGAAGGTGCAAGTCATAAAACTCATAATATTGGTAGTCTTAAGATATTTCAGTAGAGGTCAAAAACGGACCCTTTTCAGGAACTATATGCAAAAGGAGCCAAGCTATACTTCTTATACTTTGTTAATTTCTCATTGTTTTAAAAATGCTTATTTGTAAGATTTTTAAGGACTGATGTTTTGCTAATAAAATAATGTGTGAGAAAGGAAAAAAAAAGCTGCTTCAAATATATGTGCATTCATGTATAAACACACACTCACATACACATTTCTTTTTTTAAATATTTTGGTTTTTAGTTGTAGTTGGAGACAATATCTTTATTTTATTTTTATGTGGTGCTGAGGATTGAACCCAGCACCCTGCATGTGCTAGGCAAGCGCTCTACCACTGAGCCACAATCCCAGCCCCACACATAGACATTTCTTACATGACCAGTCTCATTATGTGAGTCTCCAAAGTGCAGTTTTCTGATCCTTAGGGATATGTAAAATGACTCACAAGAGTATTAGGAAGAAAATTTTAGGCTTACTATTATGTATGTTTTAAAATTTTAATCATTTTAAAATTCAAAAATTTATTATGGTTTACAATATCTTATACCGTTGCCATAAAGCTATGTGTATTTTACATGCATATTCCAAATTTTTTTAGTGATAAAGGTGAGTAATCAAAAGATTTGGCAATCCTGGGTATAGCGGGTGGTCTGGGTGGGAACATAAGAACTACAGTGTTTAGGAGGCAGAACTGATAAGTTTTGGTGTCTGAGGTTAGAGAAATGAAGCAGCCTGGTGTGACACAGGGTTCTGGCTATGTGGTGCCATTCACCAAGGTAGGATTTGTGACCACAAGGGGTAGTCCTGGTTGGCTGGAGGAGGGGAAATGATGATGAATTTATAATGTTGAGGTGTTTTTTGTTTTGTTTTTAAGGTGACCACAGGGCATAGGCAGAGATGTCTAGAGTGTAGCTGAAATTAGAGATCAGAAAATAAAAAAGATGTCTGGTTGAGAGATTTAGATTTGGGAATTCTTAGCCTGCAAGGGCTAATTGAAGCTGTACGCTGAGGGTGAAAATACCAAAGGAGTGAAAAGGGCCTGAACCTGGGCAGTATTTACCAGTGGATGGGTAAGTGGAGAATGAGGGATCTAGAAAAGCATTTCCCTTCCCTCTTTCTTGTCTGAATTTGTGGTTCCTTTGAGTGACATTTTAGTGGCTGGGATTTGTGGAGTTTTCCCAGTCATTAGCATGTTTAATGTAAAGTTGGAGAAACTTTATGTCCCTCTTTGGTAATTTATTTAAAGACTAACAGAACAGAGGGTAGGAAACCTGGGCATGCTCTGCCACTGAATTTTTTGTGACGTTTGTCAAAATACTCCACCTTCTGGATTTTTTTTTTCACACCACACTATAAAGTATCTGCTACATTTCTCATTCTGTCATTCTGTGAGTTGAATAGTTACTGTCTGATCTGAGTACTGTAGAGTGCACTTCTTTTTCTTTCCATGAGCAACCATTTTTTTGTATCACCAGAGAGCATAGGTGCTGTGCCAAATTACCACTCTAATATTTGCCAGTGCTGACGGATGAAATTGTTGCTATTAGCTCTTTGTTGGGGTGTAGCTCAGTTGTACATTACATTTTAGTCTATCAGTATATTATCATTGTCTAGAGACAAAAATGGTGTACTGAGTGAGCATAGATCAAGAAGTTGGTCTCGTCTTTGATATTGAGTGAATTATCTAGCTGGGACAAGTAGTTTTCAGCTCAGGAAAATAGAACACATACTGAAGAATATTTTACACAATGTACTGAAGCAGATAATATTAATAGTTTTTGAGAAAAAAACATCATATTGGCTTAAGTGGTTTTGAAAGACTTATTAGAGGAGAAGAAGAGGCCTGAGTTTGGAATGGTGAGAGCAAAGATATATATATTTTTTGGTACTAGGGATTGAACTGTGTGCCTGGCTGAGATAAGATATGGATGACTGATGTGTGGCATACTCAAAGGACAGTACAGTTAAAGGCAGAATCCTGACTAATTTAGCAAATATTACTTGGCCACTTTGTTACCCATGGAAAAAATGTGTACCCATATATACATAATTACATATGAAATATAAAATGAAGGCTTGAATTTTTATTCTAGACTGGCAAGGGACACAGGCATGAATGCATTTAGTTGTAATTTTGAATAAAAATAACACTATGTCACA